GGGTTAGGGTTAGGGTTAGGGTTAGGGTTAGGGTTAGGGTTAGGCAGGGGGACTGAACTGCTATTGGGCTTCATCCTTATGGGATTCTGACCAAAGCTTGTCACAGACATTACATTAGGACACCAGGGAGCTAGCTTAACTTGTTGAAATAGGGTATAACATGTCTCCTTTAATTAAACCCGGTCTGTTTCCCTCAGTACGTCGTGGTGAGCAGCAAGAAGATCCTGTTCTACAACAGCGAGCAGGACCGGGAGCAGTCCATCCCCTGCATGGTGCTGGACATCGAGTGAGTGCCCACCGCTGTTCTCCGCCCGGCCACCGGGGGGCGCCGTTTCTCATGTTTATTTCCGTTTCGCAGCAAACTGTTTCACGTCCGGCCGGTGACCCAAACGGACGTTTACCGCGCCGACGCCAAGGAGATTCCCAGGATATTCCAGGTGGGACCGCTAGGGTTGTTACGATACTAAAATGTTTAATTGGATACCGATACTCAGGAAAATATTTAATACTCGATACCACAAGGATAAAAACAAAGACCCCAAAATTTAACTGAATTTTGACAGGTTAGTGTCTTTGGTTTCAAACTGACCTGTTACTGATGTTATGGTGGCCCACATTAATGACCCTAACCCTAATCCTAACCCTAACCATAAACGTATCCCTAACCCTAACCCTGACCCTAAACCTAACCCTAACCCTGACCCTGACCCCAACCCTAACCCTAACCCCAACCTATCCCTAATCCTAACCCTGACCCTAACCCTAACCCTAACCCTTCATAATTGTGAGTAATAAATATTTTTGGGGTTAAACTTGTTTGGACTTATTTTACAAACCTATTTAACATCCACTATTTTAACATAATATTATGGATAGAGATTAATTCAGTGTTTTGTTTTTTTTAGATTAATTTCACTACTTTTCAAATTAATGTCTATATTGCCATGAAGCAATTAGGATTTTCTTGCCTGGGATCTCCCTATTGGTGACCTAATCAAAATGGCCGACTTGGATGTGGGGGAGTTGGATATCCATCCTTGGCTTCCTGCAGACTTGATTAATGTTGGCGTGTTGTTATTAGCCATTAGCTGCAGCTAGCAACTCAAGGCTAACGTCACGTTAATGATCATAAACAACGTAA